TCAAACTAGATGAAACAATTTCGCACTTCTCGCATATACTGGTCAATATTAGATCTATAATCGCTGCAAACATAGCTTTTCTATCTTTAACTATTAACGAGTTAGAAGAAAAACATCTCTGTCTAACCGTTATTTTGCTGTTGACTTTCTTGTGGTTCATATGAGTCAGATTTTGTAAATGTTATTTTTCTCTGCCACTTTATGCGGAATAATATGTTTTTTTCTCTCTCTTGTCTAGAATTTTCTTCGTTCTATTCAGCTACACCATTATTTTGTTCCCAGTATTTCCGATTTTTTCTCAAAAATTTGTTCAGAATTCATGAACAATGGATTCATTCAAAATCCAATTCTTTTTTAAACCACATAGTAACCACATAGTTTTAGGTAGCCCTGATAAGTTATTATTTAATTTTCAGTATAAAGGTTTTACAATGTGGAGAATTTATGGATGTGCATATACAGCGTTCAAATGGGTGAAAAAAGGGTTTCTGGGAATCCAGGATTTTCAGGAAACTAGCGATACTGGAAGCTTTTTCTTGATTTTTGACAATACTTCTCGCTAAAAATAAGTAACTAAGTTCGTTACTTTAGCTGGTAAAGTAACTCCGAGTAACTAGTAAAGTGCCACCCCTAGAAGAATCGCTAAGAGTTGTGGAATATCTCATTTTGTAGAAAAATGTTTGGTCTATAATGTCCAAATATTAGAAAAGTTTCGAAGCTATTTTTGACAGAAATGTGAACATGCTAAAATTCATTAAATCGTGATAAAAAAAACTGTTCGAACAGTTTTTTTGCCGTGATTCACTATATTCTAAAATGATCATATTCTTATTCAACACACATTTAAACTTCTTTTGACAACTGAAATTTGTAAAGCAAACATTTTTCTACAAAATGAAACATTCCACAACTCTTAGCGATTGATTCTTCATGATCAAATTATAGCCGTTTTCCAGTATACAGTAACACCAATTTTTACCTGGTGCATACCGATTTATAAGAGAATTTCTTCGGTGAAAATTCATTGGATGAAAGTTTTGGATTTAAACAAGGACTAGATGAGATTTCATCTCCTGTTTTCGTTATTTTCGGTGCTGATAAAAGTACCCAGATACTCACAAAAAAGTACTATCTATAGTGTAGAATGGTGAATATCTCAGTACTTGTAGCAGGATCGAAAAAACAGAAAACAAGAAATGAAATCTCATCTAGTCCTTGTTTAAATCCAAAACTTTCATCCAATGAATTTCACCGAAGGAATTCTCTTATATATATATATATATATACATATAGCAAATAATTATCGACAATCCACTGACTAGAACTTTATTTTGTTTCTTCATGTTGATATGTTCAAGTTTTGCACTGGTGCGCATCCATGTGGACTGATACTTTTTCATTCCTAGGATGTTGAAAACGGTATAATTTATTGTCTATTAAATACCTATTAGCAGCCCACAAAATCGATCTCAAATGACATTTTTTAGCTAGTTAACACCGTTTTTTGACAATTTTTCGGCATTATAACTGGAAATGTATTAATGCCTAAAAGTGATTTTTTGTTAACGGCCAAGAAACAGGCTGAGAACAAGCATTTAACAGCGACCGTTTAATGGCCATTTTTGCGTAATTATTGGCTGTTTATGGTCAAGAATCATTGTCATAAAACGGATAATGAAATGACATTTAATGGTTATCTAAGTCTGAGCACACAATTAATTGCTTGTTTTTAGGCCATCATTAAAGGTAAGATGAAGAACAATTAATGGTGCCTGTTAATTGACCATTTTTTCACAATTAAAAGTCTGTTGAAACTCTGTTGTTAACCATTTCATTAACAGGCTATTTATGGCCTATTAAATGTCAGTTGTTTTTGATCTGGTTTGGCAGAGGTGCGCACCGATGCCAAAACAGTGCCGATATATCATAGGTTTTGACGACATTCGTCTATATAAACACCACAGTATACTTGTATTGTTTCGAATGTCGTTTTGATTTCATTCTTCCCCCTCATAGGAGAAGGGCTGAGTCGGTGTCGCACGGTTACGGCATATCAGTGTAGTACTGGTACATATCACTGCTGTACTTTAATTAATGCAAAATTAAGAAAATGCAACTATAATAAAGAACTGACTAAATAAGTTTTCTATGTAGGGCGTGTATGATGATTCCGCCCTGGAAGTTTCCTTTTTTTGGGCGTGTATAATGATTTGCTTGTCAAAAGTAAATCCAAAAGCAAGGATACGACTGATTAGTTCTGCCCTTGAATAAAAAAAAACCAGTGTAATCATACCACGGTGTACGTTATCGGTTTTTTAACGCCTTAACTGCCTGAAATATATGATTATAAAGAAGTACGCTTTATTATCATGTATAAGTGTATATTAATACTTCAACTATAGCAAGAGGTGTTCATAGAAAGAATTCTCTTATTTCCAATGATGCAGGCCAATAATCTAAACTGGAAGAAAATTATGTCTTGATCCTCTATTATTCTTAGATTGTGGGAAATGTGTTATTTATCGAAACGAGGAGTGGGGAAAATATGCGGTAAATAAAAAAAGAAATTTTTATTATTTCTGGTTTAATACGTGTCGATACTAATAATAATGTTATCTGTTCTACATTAAAATTCGCTACGAAAATATTGTTGAAAATGTACATTGAACGCAGCGAAAATAATAGTGGCTTTTTTCCACGTACACACCACAGTGGGCAATCATGTGGACATTGGGCGAAAAATCGAAAGTAGACTTACTCATGATATATTTACAGGAATAGCGCCAATTAGCATCAAAATTACAGGGGTTCCAAAAACCCCTGGTTTTTGAAGTAAAATCTATTTTTGTCTATCTAGAAACACTTTTATTGAAAAATAACTTCATATTTAAAATCAGCGCATTGAATGACGTATAACTTGTTCAGTTTTTGAATAAAAAGTTTTTCGATAAAAAGTAGGACCACCGTTCCCCTCAGCGATTTTTCGTTTAAACAAAATATTTTTCCGAATTTGAGTTTTCTAATTTACAATAACATTTCAAAAGTAATAAAGTAGTATTGAGCAAAAATAGCCATCCTTTTGAATAAAAACACTCCATATCCGCCTAGTCTGTAGGAAATGCCCACTGTGCACCAGGGGTCTCAGATTATATTCCCTTGACTTTAGTCTAGGGTCTTACAAAATGGTTGTCTGTGTGTGTGTTTGTGTGTGTGTGTGTGCGCAAAATACGGAAAAAATGGCTGTCAGATATTCTATGGATAAGCGAATCACAAGAGACAATAGTAGAAAAACGTTTTTTTAAATAAGAGAGAAAATATTCAAAGAGATCATCTGACATATTTACTGATGCAAAGAAGTGAACAGCTCAGCAACCGTTTTCTGTGGATCGGGGATAGATGTCGCCAGATAGCAGTCAACTGTGACAATACAAAAAAAGTGATCTACGGGTAATAAAATTGATAGTGTATAGATAATCTATTATAACGAATCGATTAGAAATACTTCCAACCTCCTTGGGATCTGCAGAAGGTGTGCAGAAAACCTTTTAACTTTATATTACATTAGATGGTTTTTTGGTGGAATTAGAGAAGTTCATAGCGTTTCTCATCTATACTGGTTGGGAACGCCGACAGAAGGGAAGCGTGAGCATTGTTTTGAATTCACAAATAGTTTTAGACCTTTTGAGATTTTTGCTTTATTTATATTAGTTTACCAACGTTACACATGAAAAGAGTAAAAAATCCAGAAGATGTCTTAGGTACGTATCCAGCGAGCGCCGACCGAAGGGAGGCGTGAGCATTGTTTTGAATTCAGAATTATGTTTAGACCTCTAGAGACTCTTGATTTATATATTATAGTTAAATATCAGACTACGAATCTTATACATAAAAAATGAACAAAGCTCCAGAAGATGCGTTAGTTAGGCCCCCAGCGAGCACCGAACGAAGGGAGGCGTGAGCATTGTGTTCGATTTAAAAGTCGCCAAAGGACGTTCGCTTGCGCAGATCCAACTTAATAAAGTCAAGGGATCGAGCGAGTGGAGACGAGCGTTACCTTGTTTTTCTAATGTGGGACAGAAAGTTCCGAATGGGGGGCAAATGGGGGACGCTTATTTTAACGAAATAATGTCGTCACAATCTAAAATACCCGATGGACTCTGCTATACATTATTTTAAAAATGAAATATATTGTGGATCTTTTAACCGTTTATCGCTAAAATTACACTGCCGTTTTGAGGATGGGACGCAGCTGCTGAGTTTTGTTTTTGTTGTCGCCAATAATTTTTTTGGTTGCTGTTTGTTTCTCACTTGCACAGTCTACATTCTCACGAGCGGTCGTTTCTTCGTCTAGTTCTAATTCAGAGTTCATTCTTTCAAAGCTAATTTTTCGAATTTCAAACAAAAGATTTTCTCCTTAAAATTAGGTTTTATCCACAAATTCATATCACACATCTAATAAACTCTGAGACACGTACGACAGAAAGAGCGATGTTTTTGTAGACGGCTCGAATCCCAGAATAACTCTATTTGCTACAAACTATCCAAACACCTATATGATAATGAGCTTCTTGACAAGATAGGTTAAACAGATATAGATCTTTGTCGATTAGATAATTGCTAGTGGACGACAAAATATGTCCCCCATAGGGGATATCTTTAGTGGGGACAAAACGGTCGAATGGGGGACATCTGAGAACCCTGCTGTGCACACTAGATGAAAGTGTTAAACATTACTGTCTTTCTCAATGTATAACAGCATCAGTCCGTTCAAATCTTGTTGTTCTATATTGGTTTTACCATTTTATTATTTTATTTTATTATTTTTTATCATTTCAGCCATATTCATATGTTTTCTTTCATCGATTTTCGTTTATTTTCTGTTTGATATCAGTTTTATACTGCACAAACAAACTAAAATTCAATCAGACATACTACCAATAGTACCGTTTGATGATAGACTATGCGATCCAATACTTGCTAATCGTTCGAAGATGTCGTTAATGGATATATACGATGCTAATTGTCAATTAAGTTCAAGATATCGAAATTTGATGAATACAAATGTAGATAAAATGACTTGTAATGAATTTCTTAAAATGAATAAGTTTTATATAGAAATCGTAACAAAATTAGAATTAGAGTTTCCAATTGCATTCAGTATTCTTGTTTATAAACATTTGTATCAATTTCAAGTATTGTTACGCACTATCTATCGTCGTAGTAACTTTTATTGTATCCACGTTGATTTAGATGCGAATCCTCAAATCTATTCATATGCACGAAAAGCGAGTAAATGTTTGAAAAATGTACATTTAGCACCAAAACGAATTAGAGTTACATGGGGGACCTATTCAACGTTAGAAGCTGAACGAATGTGTCAAATTTTTTTAATGAAAAAGTTTAAGACATGGAAATATTATATGAATGTAGGTAGGTAAAAAACACTATATATAATGATTTTAGACTGGAATGAAGAAGGTGAGAAGTTTTCTGTTTTTCTAATAAGAAATTCACTCGAATCTACTTAAGATTTTATGGTAATAATATTAAGATTTTCCCAACATTTTGCTGACATTTGTCTAAGATCATAGACAAATCTGAAAAGATCTTAACTTGCATTCTATACTCTCTAAAAAGTTGTTAAACATTCTCAAGAAAGAAAATACAAAGAAAACGGACATCGTGACACTCAGTTATAACTGTTAGTTAAAATCGAGTGGTGCAGATAAAATCGGACACGATTATTTGATTATATCTTCCGCCCTTTTTATACTACAATATTCTTTTTCAATAGATTCACCTTGAATTTCTGTACAAAAATAATGTATGGAATGTTTTCCTGTAACTAGCTAACTCATAGAGAAAATACTAGTCAGCTTCGTTAGTAAGATACTTATGAATTTGTTCTAGCGTGTTCATGTAGAATCCGGCATACAATGGGATATCCCGAATTGCCATATAAGTGTAGATATAGAATTTTTCATAAAAATCAAAGATACCCGAAAGTTGTAGAATTTGCTAGGATCTTGGTAGAATTCGAATAGGATTCTAACAAGAAAATACGATTATTGAAAAATATTAGGATCCTATAGCAGGAATATATAGGAAGTATGTAGGATTTTGTCTAAGGTACATATTCGTTGACTTTCCCTGATCGTAAACAACAAAACAAAAACAATGTGTTTTGGAGCATATTTCTATGCATCAGAATTAGGGCATTCTCGTTTTTATTTCTCAGTTATTCCAATTTTAGTCTATCATATTCTATTTTTTAGATGGGAAAGTCGACGAGTATGAAGCTGCATAGTATTTTCTCTATAAGTTTCTAGTTACAGGAAAAAACTTCATACATTTTTTTTTGTAAAGAATCTCAAGATAAAAGAAACATTGTAGTATAAAGCGAACGATATGATCAAACAAGAGTATCCGATTTTATCTGTATCAGTTAACATGATGCATGAGAACAAAGGAAAAAGGTGAACGAAAGTAGGAGCATCAAATCTAATTCAGATTTTAATTAAGATCTTACAGAATTTTAGTACGATAATTTTAAGAAGTAATCAAGGTTCTTACTAGGATGGCTATCTATTGTCCATTCTACTTCTTAATTAAAATTAAAATTTATATTAAAAAACTTGTTTTTGTTTAGCTGGTACTGAATTACCTCTTCGTACCAACTATGAACTTGTTAAAATTTTAAAATACATGAATGGTTCCAATGATGTACTCTCTCGTTTAAATATGAGTCCGGAACGTCATACACGGCAATCGTTTGATCCTATACCCGGTAATTTGACAATAAGCAAAGGTGAATTTCATACGACACTTTCCCGAGCATTTGTTGAATATGTTTACAAAAGTCGACTAGCTAATAAGTTTTTGGAATGGTTATCAAAGACACCATTTCCTGATGAACATTTTTATTCTACGCTTAATCGTTTACCAACATTTCCTGGTCATGCACGAGTCGATTATTGGCGTTCTCGATTTGTTACCCGTTACAAAATATGGGTAATGGAAGAAAAACGTTGTAAATCACAATTATTTACAAAAAAAATTTGTCAATTAGGTTGGCAAGATTTACCATCAATTATTCGAAGTAAACGCTTATTTGTAAATAAATTTAATCAACAGCATGATTTCATTGGTATCGTCTGTATGGAAAAATGGTTACATAATAGAATAATGCATCCAAAACAAATTCAGCTTGAAAGATACAAAGATTATCCACCATTTCAAGATGAATCTGAAATTGATGAACCTCAAATTGAAACTTGAAGAATTAGTAAGAAAAAAAAACATATCAGCGAACACCTGCAGTGGAATGAACGACCGCTAAATACTTGTGATTTCATATCGTTTAATACTGAAAAATCTTAACGAACTATTATTGATCGATCACAGCTTACAAGAATGATAGACCAGAGTACATACAATACGTACAATGTGTGTCCAATTTATATTGACAGTAAATCTGTATGATGTGTCGCTGGTATTTAACAACCCCCTTTAAGAAACCCTACAAAAAGGAATTTTTTGTTGTCGGCATCGGTTGTACACGAATGCCGAATAAATTACTCGTTTCCACTTTTCTTCAGAGCAAAGAAGAGTTTAAACTTCAAACTAGATACGGCATGGTTTCAATTGTTTTTTTGAACTAGAACTGATCATTCATCCTTTTCCAAAGAAGCGAGCATCTCTTGTTATACGAAAAAAGATGATCGTTTCACATATAAATATTAATTAGTATGTAGATATGAAAACTGATGGCGTCTCTTCGTCGCATAAAGAACCCGTTGATAGGAATTAGTTGAGAGTAACTCTTGTAGTTCTAAAAACCGATCGATGAAACTGGAGTTCTTTCAACTAGTTGTTAAGAACTACAATAACTGAAACTACTCTACCTCAAACTTAGAGCATTTTCTATCAAACTATCCAACACTCTTAAAAAATGTGTTCATCAGTTTTTCAGAGAACTGAAAGGTCAATGGGAATTTTTTCTTCATTTATCTCAAGTAGAGAACTCAAATTCTGTTCTTCAGCTCTCAAAAACTTAAAATTAGTTTTTTAATTTTTTTAAAGAACGAAAAAAATCATTTTTTTAAAAACTGAAGAATAAATTTTGAGTTCTTGAGAGCTAAAGAACAGAATTTGAGTTCTCTACTTGAGACAAATGAAGAAAAAATTCCCATTGACCTTTCAGTTCTTTGAAAAACGGAAGAACACATTTTTTTTTTTAGAATGAAGGGGGAAAGACGACTTTTTTCTTTCTTAGCATTGCTCAACATAACATCGTATAGCAACTCAAGCTTCGTGAAGCAATTCAACGAACGACGTGGATATTTAGTGCAACTACTCTCAGGAACGGGATCACGATCGAGTGCAAAAATTGTCAGATTCGTAGAACTCTAGCTTTCAGACGACTAAATTTAGGATTTCTCCATCAACTGTAAAGTATTATCAAACATTTTTTTACCATATAATTGTGTTAAAAAACTTTTGACAGAAAGCTATATTTCGACAAACAGTCAATTAATATTATTATTACCTATTAAAAGAAATATTTTCTCATTTCTCCGAGTTACTTTGAAACGTATCTATGAGCTCTATAAACTAATCAAAAACAAAAAATGTTTTCAGATTACTTTTTAATAAAACTCTAGAGCATTTTTATTTATCGTTGATCGACGTGACCACGTCGATCGATTTTTGATGAAAAAGGTGTTTTTTTTTTTATTATATCGAACAAATGAAGAGCGTTGGAAGAAATAGATCGATTTTCGATGATTATCAGCAATATTCTCGTAAAAAATCATTGAGTTTGGTTTAGAAGTCTTAGCGAATTTGTTGTCACGGTTCAACAACATTTGTTGTTTTTGTGAAACAGTACATTTGGCTTGCAATCGTTCGATTTATTCTTTAATGTCCTTCTTTTTGCCATACTTGTGAATGAAAAATTGTTAGGATATTTGAGTGAAACTGTCGACAAAAAGTCTTATTTTTTTAAGATTTTTTTTTTCATAACGCCACTTTGAATCTTATATTTTCTGACGTAAAATAGACTTTATAAAGTATTTTGTTGTGATTTGTTCTTAATGTAAAATTATTACTATTTTTTTTCTTGTAATATTCGGAGTTCAGGGTAAACGGGTCATTTTCGAAGTTCAGACATACTTTTTTTATTATTTCAAAAGCAGAGCAAAAACAAAAACAAAAATACCAGAAATCGTAAAAGAAAGAAAAAAAAAGAGAATTACACAATATATATAGTGTTACGAACGTCGTTTTACATCATATATTTTCATACACACACACACACACAATACGGAAAAAAAACAAAAACAAAACAGAAAATACAGAAAAATGATTCTTCTAAGTCGTTGTCACTACAAGTGATTGTTGTTGTTGTTGCTGCTGTGATGTTGGTGGTGATGTTGACCTTAACTGTGAAACGACAATTGTTGTTGGTTGTTGATGTTGTGTGAGTAAATTTGTTGAAGGTGTAATTAGATATTGATTATCAGTATTTATACCAATGGTATGTTTTTGAATTGTTGGTGATGGAGTTGATGGTGATGCAGCTGATTGTTGACCTTGAGGAGAATTTTGTAAAGATGAACGCATTAAACTGGCTATCGATGGTAATGGAGAAATTTGAGATGGTGTTGTTTGTGATTGAGTTTGAGGAGATATTGTACCTAAATTAAATAAATAAATATGAGATAATATTATTTTAGTAACTCAGTTTTTGTTGTTTATTTTTAAAAATAATTTCTATTCTAAAATTTATATCATTTCTTATCAATTTAATTTGACTAGTTTTTGTTTTTTGTTTAAAATTTTTTTTTGCTTACCTTTTGTAAATAAATCTACAATGTCATAGCGAATATCATTCTGTATTACTGTTGATGGTACGGCTATATTTAAAATATTTGTATTTGTCGGTTGAAGTTGAGGTGATGGTTGAGTAGTGGAAATATTTGTAGAACATATTGTAGTTTGAGGCATTGACGTATTTGTTGCTGCTGTAGCTAATAGTCGAGAGTAGACAGATGCTAGAGATGATGATTGTTTTGATGCTTGTTGTTCATCAAGATTTAAACGACGACGATTTTGTAATGAATAATTATTATTATTACTCTGATGAGTTAGAGATGTTTTTTGAGGTGTCTGAAGATGTTGATTGTGATTAACAGAAGTTGATTTTTGTTTTAATATAGTCGATTTAACAATTGTTGATGAGGGAATTGGTGGTACAGGACGAAAACATAAATCTTCAACGGTATCTAAATACAAAAAATTATTTTATTATTGAATTACACCTCATAAATTCTTGAAATATCTGTAAGATTAAGTTTTTTATAGTTTAGTAGTACAATAGTAGAAAGGGAGAAAACAGGAATGAAATTTTATAATATTTAGAAATGTTTATGATACTTACATGACTGTTCATTAAATTCTAGACTATCAAGTGAATCATCATCTTGATTATCTCTTGTTCTCCTTTCTCTTCTATCATCATGATTATGATTATCATCTCCTAAATGACCTAAATCACCGTCTAATGATCGATACATTTCTGCTTCACTCGCTGTATTTGTTGATGTTGAACGATCAGCATCTGAACATGCATCTAACCATTGATCAACATCATGACCATCTTGATTTAATTCATCTTTTAACTTTTTTAAACGACGTTGTAATTCAATATGTCTACTAGATAATACTTGAATTTCTTGTTCATATTCACGTTCTTTACGAGTTAATGTCTAAAAAACAAAAAAAAATAAAATAAAAATATTAAAATTTATTTATTATAAAATATATATATATATAGTTTTTTTTTTAAAATTTTACTTGAATATATTTAATTGCCATATTTAATACTTGAAGATTTGTTACTTTTCTATCACGTTGACATGGTACTTCAGCTTTTAAATGATCAAAACAATCTTTTAGATGTGCTCGTCTAAAATTAGAAGAAAAGTAGAAGAGAGTTTATACTAAAAAAAAAAATAAATATAAATTTACCTATGTTTTTCTAATCGATTATGAATTTCTCTATCACGAAAACATGTTTGTACTCTATTAATAAAATATAAAAAAAAGACAAAAAAAAAATAGTAAATATAAAAATTTTATCAAACATACTTGTTTACTGACTCATTATCTACTCCTCCATTTCCATTGTATTGATTTGTCTGATTATTATTATCATCATATCCTCCAACTTCACCACTTTGTCTACTTGTATTATCTCCATCTAAAGATTGTCTTGATGAATGATAACCTCCATTAAGAGAATTTAAATTTAATCGTGCATTATCAGATATTTCTAAATCTGTATCGGTGGATAAAAGACGTTCACTTTTAATTTGAACTGGAACAATAACAGAATTATTGTCATGATGATTAGTAATCGTTGTCGATGAATTGGAATTAACACCTAAAATAGAAAGAATTAAGAGTAAATATCAATAAAAATAGTTCTTTAGAATAAAAAAAAAAAATATTTGTAAACAAGCAACAATTCTACTGACTATTGTCAAACTATATATATTTTGAATAGAATAGATTGAATTAAATATTCATAGGAATTTAAAAGTATGCTACTTTGTATTGTATAAGTTATAACAAGCTCATTTCTCGTTCAAGAGAAAATGACACGATAATCTTTGTCTATTTTCTCGTTTTAGAATAAAGGTGTTGACACAACCGTTTTAATCTTACACAGAAATAAAGAATGATTAAACATAATTGTGCAGTGAAGTTGATCAATAAGACATGAAAGAATAACAGAAAATAAACGATTTTTAAAACAGAATAACTCATTTTTCTAGATGTTTTTACTACACTAGAAAATCCGATACATTCTAAATCTAAACTAAAGAAATATTGTTCTTATTTGAAAATTATTAAACAAAAGTGAAAATTCTACACAAAACAATTACTGAAAATTTAAATGAACGATTCGTTTATAAAAATTGATTAATGTACGAAATGAATGTTGATTAAAATTTGTTTTCAAATTTCATGTATTCTGTATAAAATGATATTGAAATGGATAAACAAAATAAACAACGCGAATATCTGATATTTTTGTGAAAGATTGATGTATGTCATTTTGTTCAAATAAATATTTCAGTCAAAATAAACTTGTAATGATTGTACGAAACAGAAATTTTCTACAATTTTTTTTTTTTGCTTATAACTCCAATCGCTTCTCCGAGAAACGAGATGAAATTAGATAACGTAACTAGTTCTAAAGAACTTAACTTTGTCCTTTTTCTCGAACAAAATTGATCATGATCGCTATACACATATGAAATAAACACTTTTTTTTTTCATTTTATGGCAGTATCAAATAATTTTTCTTTAACAAAATACTTTTTTGATATTAATACTCATTTATTTTCTCTAAGGTTTTGTTTTTACACAAAACAAAAAAAATTCATCTGCTTTTAATATCTTTTAGATTGACTTCTTCAAGATTTGAAACTATCAAAAATGATTATTTGAAAAAAGTCAATGTATGATTTAGACGCCCACACCTGCAAACGTCGAATAAAGGAAAAAAAGAAAGAATAAGAGGAAATATACGTTCCTCACATTGTACTAGAATACAGAGAAGAACAGAACACTTACTTCCATCATTGCCGTTGATATAATTCATGGTCATTATCATTATAAGTTTTTGCTACAAATAACTCACGCATGTACCCTATTTTTTTTTTTCTCAAACTAGTTAGAAAAAGAGTTTCCTGTGCAATTATTACATGAAGAAGAAAAAAAAACAATCTAGTACTAGTAGTAATATTGATGAGCAATCATCGTAATGAAGGTTTTCTTTTTCTTTTTCTTTTGACGTCTAAATGCATGTGAATGTGTATACACGACGCAATCTTCCTTTATACAAATGCGTCTCAACTCTCAACCACACAATGTTCTAGGAGAACGAAGAAAGAAAAACTACGTACTTGAAAATATATATATATACACACACACACACACACACGAAGAAATAAAAACAAATAGTTTTTTGATAAAAGGGCTATATAGATCACGAAAGAAAAAAAGGTATATAAAGATCTAAATAGCATAAAGAAAGAAATGCTGAACATAGTATGCGTATATTTTTTTTTGTCACCCTCGATACGTCCTAGAAAAATTTTAGATATTGACAATTATATAAGAAAAGAAGAAATTATAAAAGTTTGTCCGATTATTTAGATCAAAGATCTAATATCCCAAATGAAAACAGTATCTAGAAGAAGGAAAAGAGTTTATTGCAAATGTCTATATCAAGTTATCAATAGAGCCCAAGGGAAATTAACTGTGTAGAATAAACATTATCATCGACTTATAAAAATTCTAATCTAATCTGCTATAGAAGGAATAGGTGATTAAGATTGAAAACATATTACTGTCTAATATATTAAACAAAAAAATAATGATTTATTAATAATATTAAATGAGTTAATTATCATAATTATTTTAATTAATGAATGGAATGAAACAAATAGCGTACTTGACAGTGAACGGTCCATAATTTATAATTCATCTTTTTATTCATATTCTTACCAGTTTTAGGTATAGAAAGAGTTAAAAATCAGTAGATAGTTATGGATCATTAAATTCAACCAATCAATCAGAAATCAATTCAATGTTTCTAAGGTGTCAGAAATTCAGCAAGTTTATTTTTGCATTTTTTATACATGGTTGAATAGCGTACGTCGAGCTGATGGAGACAATCAATATGTTTGAAATATTTGAAAAAGTTACTATCATGTCAAAAATGTGAAAATACTTGAAAGATCTAAATTTTCGAAGAACGTTTTGGTTTAAAAAAAACTCAAATTTCTTTCTTTTTCGTGCTTCTGACGTTTCGAAAGTCTTTTTATCCGATTCAGCATCAAAAACTGATTATGTTCGGTAGAGATTAAAGTCAAAAGTCTATCAAGTATAGACACACCTTGGACTCGCTCTATAGTTTAGAAACAATTTTGTACGCCCACCTAGGTTTTCTTGTGAAGAGATGAAGATGAAGCCGAGATTTTTACTTCAACACTAGAATCCCCATTAAACGAGCTTTAAAAATACGTATCGCTTGTTTTTCCATTTTGCTTTGTCACTGAGAAAATTCATTTTTTCTAAATCGGGAGTGAAAAAATCGAACTTTTGCCTGTAATTCTCCATTATCTTCATCAGAACTGAACTTTTATCTAATACAAATCTCATATTCGGAACTAGCGTCAAAAACTGAGTCCAATGATATACTATTTTTTCCTATCTAACGAAAAATTTATAATCTTCAAGGATTTTCAAGTTTTTGACATGAAAATAATTTTTTCAAACGTTAAAATACATATTTTCTGCATCAGTTCGACACGCTCTATCCAAAATCATCGATAAAAAAACGCAAAAATAAAAACCTGCTGAATGTTCGAATTTCTGACACCTTACGATAAACATGTTTTTTCATAAAAATTCTATAGGGAGAGTTATGCATGATATGTTATCAAAATTTCAGTGCATTCAATTCTCATACGTTATTTTAAGAAATAGTACCCACAGAAAGTCGATTTTTGAGTTGTTTGCATGAATAGATAGCCTGAAATGTCTTTTTTCGAATCTGTATAGCTTTTCTATGAAAAGCTTAGTTTTCATAGATTTTCTAAAATTTCGATCCGAGGGCGTTGTATAAACTTCAAACTTTTCATTTTATGTTTTGTCAAAAGGCATTTCTCGCATAGTAAGTAAAATTTTGTTAGGAATAACTCAATTTAATTTGATTAGCTTTGTTTTATTTAATAGCTAAAACGGAAATGCATAAAGTGACAAACCATTTTTTTTATGACATCATGTGTTTTTGCTGGGAATTTGGGTTTTTTCCTTGTTGAATCATTTTTTTTTTCACAAAATGTGCATGACGTAATCTAGCGAATTACGCTACGTAGAAAATGTCTGAAAATGGGAGAATAGTCTCTGGACACTGCAGATTGACAACTGCACATTTTTTTTCAACTACAAGTCCAGATTTGGCGCCATAAGCTATACAAGCGGAAGAAAAATGTGTTTTTGACTCAAAAACACATTTCTAAAGTTCATTAGCATTAATTGTTCGACGCCATTTATTCATGTGAAGAAAAATAATTTTTCTCTCATTTCTCTTTCACTGTTCTTCATATATCGTTTTGTTCTATTATTCTTCCTAATTATCTCTTTTAAAGTAGCTGAAATAGTTTGAATTTGGTTTTCGTTACTGGGAAAAGCACATTTTACTAAAGAGAGAAGAGACACTTTTCTGAGCTTCCAGTTTAAAATGTATGTCAAGAAATTAACAAAGATGAAATTCAACAAAAGTATCTGTCACTTTTGAGATTTATTTGTCTAGTTTTATTTCAAACGAATCCGAGCTGTATAGTTCAGAATGAAAAATCTACTTCACAAAGCACTTCATTTTACAACTTGCGATACCTCTAGCTCTTGAACAATTCAATATTTTGGTGTAGAGAATTTTTTTCTGGAAGAGGTGCTTCTTAAATAATTTCTCTATAATTTTTAATCTTATAAAATAGTAGAAGAGCAAAAAAATGTATCTAAACACGTAGTGTATGCGCGTTACACTAAATTAGGTTTTATCTTGACAGGTATACCATCTGCACATAATCAAAATATCTCACTTATTTTTTTGTAAAAAAAATTATGAAACGGAGTCTTGAACTTACGTCTATAACATTTTTGTACAATTATTTTTTGCATCACTGCTTTTTTTTTTATCTACATAAACCTTCAATTTGTCACAAAACTTCTAAGATTTATGATGTCAATGAAGTTAAGTCAAAAAATGAACATATAATAGACACTATTTACAGTTGATTAATCACATAAAAAAGACGAGCTTGTTTTTGATACAAAATAATTTATGTAAACATACACGCCCACACAATGATAACATATCTCTTTGTGTTCTCATATTCTCTTGTAGCTCTAAAGTCGCTATTAAGAATAGAATAGAAAATATGCCAGTGACAATTGATTTTATGAGGCGAATAGATGGCGCTAAATGTTTGTAACAACAGGTACATAAAGACAAAAAACAAATAATAATAATAATAAACGCTTAACTAAAGCAAGGTAACACGGTTGATTATCACTGCTATGTTGATTATATTAAAATATCAGGTAACTTAAACTGTTTAAAGCAATAACAAGTCGAAAAAATTAAGCTGATGACCATGAGGTGTTTTCATTCAGATTCTCTCAGTATATGTACGCATAAAGGCCGCTATTTTACATACCTTTTTAAGAGTATTTCGACCTCATGTAATGAAGTAGTTTTGACCTTGTTTTTCTATGTACCTACAGTATGTTTACATTGACTATAACATACGAAAGAACAACACGAGTAGAATTAAAAATTTCTCCCACTACTCTCACAGGGGCATGACAATTGTCATAAATTGACTGAAAATAAGAAAACGGCATTCAGTACTTTAGTTCTTCTGAACACAAAACAAAACATTCTTTTATTGAAATGAAGATGAGGAGTTTCTACTCTAATAGAAAACAAATTAACTCGATATCTATTTTATTCTATGACCATGATGCCTATCTTTGAGCATTCTATTTTGGAAATAACCAACTTTGAGCACCTCTAGTCCCCAAAAAGTCTACAGTCGAATTCTTTGATTTTACTCTCATTTGTAGTACTCATTGAACAAACAGTGTCGAAGATTGTTTTTGGCCCGCTTCGTTTCCATCCTCCTTTATCCATCAAAAAAGTCAGAATAACAATTACTATTTGCATGTTTTCACGTACTTTTCACGTTTTTCTTAATTTCTATTGAGACGAAATAGTTCTTAATTCAAAATTCATCTTAATTTTAACTAAATTAAAATAAAATTGATTAAAATTAATTGTATAGAGAAACTATTTATAAAAGGTTAGTTTCTAGAAATTTTATTGGTCAACTTTTGTCCAATGGAAATTAGTATAGTTGAAGAAAGAAAAAAATATTAGTGAGAACTCACATAGAAAGTGGCTCTTGACGGCTATCGCAAAACAATCGATGAGAAGTTTTTCTCTACAATTTTTCAATTCATTTTTGTTTAAATTTAGTTAAAAATAAAATAAATTATGAATTAAAAACTATATCGTCTCGATAAAAATTCAAAAAAAAGAAGTGAAAATCAAAATTTCTGTAAATTCCACAATGATATCAGAATATTTTCGTTCGCACTCATTTTAGAAAAAGATGCTACTTTTCTGAAAAATTTTCTATTGTCAACGATCAGAGAAAATGTATATTATTCTCCATATCTGAATCTACTAAAAATTGTCTTTTAACCCTGAAATAAAATACAGCTATATTACCATCATAAAGAGTCTTCGAGAAAAAATTAATTATTTTTTAAAAAAATTCTTAATTTTTTGTTCAAAAACCTAACTGATTATAAATATAAAACATATATTTTTGATTTATTTAACAGAACGCATATACACACACATACACACATATAAAATGTCCGCAGAATTGTTTCTAAGCTACTCAAGGAACAAAAAGAAAATGATAAAAGAAAAAATAGACACGTTTTTTCCTTCTCTTGTTCTCCATCAACATTTTTTTTAAACGAAAACCTGTTTTTTTTCCTGTAAGGCACATGGACTCTAACCCACTCGTTTAACTAATTCTGAATAAAGTAATAAACTACAAAAGTCAATGCTTTAAGACAACAAAAAATGAGTGATATTTCTTCTATTAGATCAAATTGAAAACCTAATTGTTTTGATGAATGAAAAAAACAAAAAATAGTGTGTCATCTTAGATATTGAAAAACATATTTTTATTTTACACCTAAAATTTAAATATAATATCGTCTAGTAAAAATGTTATCTTTTATCAAAAATTTGAAAAAAAACTTTTTTAGAGTTTTCTAAGATAAATTGTTTGTTATCAATATTTTGTATGTTTATGGTCTACAACAACGAAAAAAAAAAAATTTTAAATTTTGTGTACACCAGTGAACAATTTTCAATTATAATCGAATAATCTCAGAGACCCACTATCTATTGATCATCTCTTCTAAGATTTACACATACTCAAAAAAAAAAAAAAAATTCGTATGTAATCGGAAAAAATATTCTAAAATCCAAGTTACTTCCTTTTAAAAAGATGGTTCTCTCATCTATTCATTCATCGATGATTGAAGAATCAAAGATGCAGAATCAACGCGTAAGAATAAAATAATTTTCCCCTAATGAGAAAAATTTCCCAAATATTTTTCTACTAATATCAAAAATATTTTTCTTTTTCATTTATTTTTCAACAAAAATTCTTATTTTATAAAAGTTTTTCTGAAAAATTTTCCCAAATAAAAGCATTTTCTTCCGATGAAGTAGTAGGAGTATACTTTAAAAGAACACTCAACTAAAGTCATAGAAGGTTCACATTTCATATTACATAAAAGAGTTTAGTTATCTGCTTACATATAAGAGTAATAATGATCTTCTTTTCGCACAAACCTACATACCTCCTCTCGCGATTGCTAAACGTTTTTTGGGCGGTATCGATTGTTGATTTTCTAAAATTTGGGCAGCTTGTAATAATGTTTCAATATTCATCATTTGTCTACAAAAAATCTGAGATGAATGTTAAAAAAATTTTAGTTGCTTCCATCAACAATAACGATCGAACTGGCATTGTGTAAAAAAAAAAAAAAAAAAACGCATCCACCCATTCACACATCATAAAATATATACACGTACACACACACACATACACACAGAGAGAGAGAGAGAGAGAGAAACAGAGAGAGAGAGAAAAAGAAATTTTTTAGTTTTGGAAAGGAAGAAGAAAAACGCACACGACGACGACGATACGACTGTTTTTTGTTGCATTTCTGTTCGAGAGTATAGGGGGTGTTGCACATTTTATCTTTCTTAGATGTATATAATACTATATACAAATCGAGCGAGACAGAGAAGTGGAAAAAGCCACGAAACAAGTTTCTTTGTGTCAAAATAAGAACGTTTATGTTATTTATCCTGAAAAAAAAAGTCCGAGCATACAAACATGTGAAAAAACTCGTTCTCTTCTTTCTCTCTCTCTCTCTCTCAATCTCTCTCTTTCGAATAACACGTGTATTTTTCAGACGACGTCAGTGAGACAGAATTGAGAGAGAAAAAGCAGTGTATCGTGCGACATGACACTTCAGAACAAAAAAAAAATGTAAAACAACTAAAAAAAAAAGCATGCAGGCGGATCATCATTTATTAAACATATAGACATGTGTGCATATAAAAGTAGAAATTCTATTTGATTGTTCGATCGACAGAGTTATAAGAAATGGGAAATTATAACAGCAACAAAAAAAATAAATATCGAATAGCAAAAATATAAAGAAGAAAAATGTATATTACACATCTGTGCGTTCAAGATCATATTTGAATTATGATAGAACTTGAATGTTTCAACGGTACAATAGATCATCATAAAAAATATGTGTAAATAGTTCCATATTCTACTCATATAGGTAAACAGAATTATAGATAATATTTAGAACATTAATGTTCTCTAAAATAAATATTTTCTTTCATATAACTTTTCTTCTGACATTTTAGTTTAACATTTTATAAAATCTCTCTCTTATTCGATAACTTTTCGGTACTACGAGAAAGTAAACTTATTCTATCTATTATCTAACATCTATGTAGATAATATAGAAAAATTTCATTTTTAGGACAAATCTATCCTTTTAGATGATATAGATGTAGCAAAATTGAAATAAGTTCTACTTGTTTATTTAATTGAATGAATCAATTCTGACATATAAAACAGAAAAATCACTATGTCTATGTTAATAACAACTGATTTTTTTTTTCTCTTTTTCGTTGTGCAATGCACCTGTTGAATTTTAAGACAGTTAACAATTTTTATGTACTTTGAGTCAAATATGTTTTTCTTTTGTGTTACGAAGACAAGAGAAGAAGAAAAAGAAATAGCTCACTTTTCTTTGCCTGAATACTTTTCTATAGCTATTAGTAGTTCGTATTTATTCTCTTTCTCTCAACTCCACGTGATAAATTTGTATTATGTCTTTATTATTTGTGAAAAAGAAACGAGGAGAGAAGAAGAAGAACAGAAATACCAAACACAGTATACATATGCCTAGTGTATAAATTTGTGTACATATAATACAACAACAACTAACAAAAATTTTTATATCAGAATAGAAAGAGGAATGAAAAGAAAAGAAATCCCAAATGTATATGTATATATATATATGATAGTGATCAATGATTAATAAAATAATAAAAAAAAAGAAAAAGGTAACTTAACAATAAATGTGTCTGTATATACTAATTCTAACATATTGTAAAGAAAAAGAAAGATAAAAGATGTTTTTTTTCTTCTTCTTCTGCTCTTTTCGTTTCTTTTATCAAGAAGAACGCGCGTGCGCGTGTACGCATTGTTGTTTCTTTGACATATTATTACTATCTGTCTCTTTCTCTCTTTCTACAGTAACAGTATCTTTACTTTCTTTATTCAATCTGACAAATGGTAAAAGAATCAATAAACTCAGATATTCAAAAGAAGAAAAAACACAAAAAGAAAGAAAAGCTTATCTATAAATAGATAAAGCGTATATAAAGCTTTGATCAATGAGAATAAAGTAACGTCATTTAAATTATTAAAAAAGATAAAAGAAGAAAATATTTAACTATAATTAGAAATATTTTGTCTACTAGATCATATATAAAAATTAATTTACTTTTTAAACATTTCTCTAATTCTTTCATAATCTGAGATATTTGACTCTCTTTTTTTTTTTGTTTTCTAAAAAAACAAAAAAAAATGTATACAAAAATTAATTTCTCTCATTCTGAAAAAAAGGACCGAATTTTCATATGCAAATTATTTAAAATAGATTGTCTCAGACATGTAAATATAAACTATCATTACATTGACAACTGTAAATTAGAAGTATAATAGAACTGATAACAAGTTGATCGTAACAAAAACAACAACAAACAAGAAACAGCATCATTAGACATTTATGACATGATATGTTTTTGTTTTTATTTTTCTAACAGGAAAAATATATTTTATTCTCAATCATTCAGCTATAAATACGTTAGAGTAGTTGAAATTTCTTTTTTCTAATGTTTCTTGTTCTAACATTCACATAGATAAAAAATAATAAAGAGAAGAAGAATGAAAAGAAAACGAATAACATACCGGTTGTTGATGTTGAATATTCTTGTTTAATAAATGTTTCACATATCACTTTCTTATTTGACGTTTGAACATATTTCATTGTCTGTTCAATATAATACTGTTCATAAAAATATGAAAACAAAAAATAAAAAAACGAAAAAATAGTGCACACAACTCTCTCTCTCTCTGTCTCTCTTTTAAGTACACTAGAACAAAATTTAAAAAATTATACAATTATGACTAAGTGTAAGAAATATCGGTTCAAATCTTATTAATTTTTATTTTTATAAAATAAAAAAAAAAACATAATGAATATGACACAAAAAATATCTGAACATAAATGTTATCTACATGATTATTTTTTATCTGACATGGAAGAATAAGAAGAAGAAAAAAAAATAAGACCTAAGGTCAAACAAATTCAATATATCAGAAACAAACTTGAAATAACAGAGATAAAACGTTTTTTCGAGATTAAAAATCCCCATGATTATACAAGATATAGATCGTTTAATGGTTCAATAAACGTGATGCATGGTGTCTGCTAATAGTTGTTGTTGTTTTTTTATCAAACTAACGAAAATCTATCGTTTTGATATTATAGAACAACGTTAAACAACTTGATATCATTGCAATAGTTTTTATTTGTTTATTGAAATAAATATACAATTATTTTTTGTTAATTGACAAACTCTAAACATAATATTTTGTTAGGTTTATGTTGAATATACGCAGAATATTCATTTATTTATAGTTCAAAAAAAGCGATATCTTTCAATAGGATTTTTGTCATTTGAGTGAAACATTTGAATTTATAAATCACATCATTAATGTAAAAAAAATAGACATTTTTTGAATTGTTTCACAATTTATCAATAAATGATACGATAATAATAGATCATAATCGTTTGGATTTCTTAACTATATCATTGAAAGTGTTGCTTTTTCAAAACAAGAATTCTAAATACTTTCTTCTTCTTTTTTTACAATGACAAATACCATATGAATCGAATAGAATTAGACCGATGATATAACAGCAGTTGAAGTTATACATCAACAATGACATGACAGTAGTACTAATCTAAAATTAATAAACATAAAATAGACATTAATGTATGTTTCTGAACTGAATTACGTCGCACAAATTCTCAAGAGTGTGTGTGTGTGTGTGTACGACACTAGTGTAATAAAAAAAAGAACAAGTTTGTGTAATAATTTCTAAAAAAAAACAAAATGATATGTTCTATTTTAAATTTTTAATTATTAAAAATCTGGCAAAAAACATTCGATATCTAACACTTCTATGATAAATAAAATCGAACAAAAATAAAAATAATCTTTCATCCATGGATTTTTGTTTTGATTGTTATTTTGTATTTTTCATCATTTTGTAGATATTAAAAATGAATAGATTTATTTTAATATATATATATATATATATTAATAATTAATCTCTTATTCATATACAATAGAAAGGAATCATTTGATAATTTAGAAATAAAAATCTTTATCACTCACATCGATTTAAAATAAAAACATTAACATGTCAATTATTTCATCGTTTTGACATTCAATTTTTAATGTACAAAAAAAAAATAATGAAAAATATATTTTAATATGGTTTTTTTTATAAATACGAATTAACTATCTTTAAATTTTTTTGTATATATTCTTCCCCTATTCAAATTATATCAAATAAATTTTTATGGTTTTTTTTGTTTTTTTTTTAAATACCATTACGAATAATATCATTTTCAAATGTAGTGGTTAAATGAAAATATTGTTGTTGTTTATAAAATTCAATTTATTCAGATTAAATTTTTTTTTGACTTTTTTACAAAGATAAACATGAATATTCGTCATTTAGGAAATTCTTAATAAAATATAAGAAAAATTTGTTTAATTTTTGACTAAATTTTATATAAATAAGAGATGCAATTTATAGTAAATAATGTGCTACGTAGCATCTAAATATGTTTTTCTTTTAGTTGTTTTATTCAATTTTGATATTATAATATTTTCTGTATTTTATCCAACTATATTTTTTGTTGAAAATATTTACAATAGACAAACTTCATTTATATTCAATGATTTGTTAATGTAGAACACAGTCATAGATCACAGCAGTTACATTAGAATTCTTTACAAATTGTACCATCATGTCATCATTGTAATTACGTATTAAAATTTACTGAGCGTATCTAGATAAAGACATTTTTCAATGAACTAATTTATTATAAAATAAAGAAGACAAAATAAGAGTGACATGAAATAAACCAACCAGGTCAGGCGAGTGAGCGACCATTGAACCATATAAAAGCAGTTATAATGTCTTTTTTGTTTGTATAGCTTTTTCTTGTTGATTCATTGAAATCGACAATGATTATGGATATTTTTTTTTCTTCTTCTTCTTCTTTCTCTAATAACCGTTAATCTTTTGAGCATTTAAACTTGTTTTATATCATTTTCAACGAATTATGACAATCCATTCAGAACTATATGACCCAGTTTTATGATAACATGAATAAACGATAGAAAATCAGTGATTTTTGTCATTAAAAAAAGTCAAAATGTGATAATGTACTCAAATCTAGAAGAGTCATTTGTAAAGACAGAATTTTGAAAAAAAAACTATTTGAATAGAATAATATTTCTTTTTTTTTTGCATAAAACGGCTGTTCTTTTCAATATGCAAACTTAGTAAGATTTTCAGGTTTTTTTTGAGATTAGACCGATATTTAGGGACTTTATATAATCGAACTAAATCGCTTCTCAAAATTTGGCAATCTATGGAATAGACTTTTATAGCGCTATGATCATGTTACGCATACATAACCCAGGGTATCGTGAAATATTTAAACCAATTTTGACTGATTTATGAAATTTTTATTTTTTAATGAAACGAATCTCAAACTCATATTTTCCATACAATGAGATTTTTCACTCGATTCTTAGCGGTGTTTTTTTCAAAATTCAAAAGTTCAGGAATCTACAGAGACGTTTATATACGTGAACTTATTCCGACTGACTCACGTGGACTTTGAAGGCCGTTCTGACTTGCAAAGTTCAATGGAATCCATTGAACTCGAATAGACTTTAAAACTTCGTTTAAGTCTATTCAAATTCAAATTCCAACATTTGCTTTTTCCTCCGTGGAAACTACCGTCGTCAGCAAAAAAAAAGAAGAACAAAAAATGCACCGATTGTCAGTAGTAAATAGTTCAATATACAGTTCAAAAATACATGTATAACTATGTTGTTAATTTCTCTATTATTCGACAGTTATTTCAATGAATTTTTTTGTTAGATACACTTGATTTTGTTTAACAAAAAAAAAGATAAATTTATTTATTTTCGTCATTTTTTATTCTTAAAGTTTGCGTAAAAAAACCTAGAAAAATTTTGAGAGCACACAAAGACAGTAAGTAAGAAGATCATTCGAGTTTTGCCTAATACATTCATTTTTTGTTCTTTGTTTTTTAAACACACACTGTATAAAGAAGAAAAACATAACAATAACAAAAAAAAAATATATAAAACCAGAACGGTGTTACAATGTTCTTAAACTATTTTTGAATAAAAATTCAAATTAACCACCCATGCCCATTTGTTTGGCAGCATTTGATGTTTCAGCAACAGATTTTGGTACTTTAATTGTTTCATCAACAGATAAAATAAGACATGCTGCTTCACTAGCCGCTGTAATTGCATTTATTTTAACAACAGCGGGTTCCCAAACAGCTGCTAGAAAATTATCGGTAACATCTTCACGAGAAATATCAACACCAAACCATATACCATCTAGAATAGAATAAGAAGAAAAAGGTGAACGAATAGTTATATGTTTACTATTTTTGCTTACTTTCAGCATGTTTTTGTCTTAATTTATTTAAAATATTTGTTGCATCAAATCCAGCATTTTCACACAATTGTCGTGGTATAATTTCAAATGATTTGGCATATGCAGCAATGATTAATTGTTCTTTACCAGCAATTGTTCGACTAAAATCTCGAAGTGTACGTGATAAGGCCATTTCAATTGCTCCACCTCCAGCTACAACACTATCATTTTTAACTGCTCGTCGAACAATCATAATGGCATCATGTAATGAACGTTCAACTTCGTCAATAAATTGTTCAGCACCTCCTCGTAATATTAACGTTGCTGTTTTAGCTTTTGGACAACCAGTAAAAAAATTGTATCTAAAGTACACAATAAAAGAAACTGAAGCAAGTTTAAAAAAAAAAACATACAAAAAGTTGATTACTTACCTGTCTCCACCAATTTGTTGTTCTTCAAAATGTTGACATGAACCCAATACACTTTCATTTAAATTTTCAACCGTTGTTATTATAGCTCCACCGCATGCTTTTTGAGTTCGTTTTAAATCATCTTCTTGAACACGACCAGCACAAAACATATCACTGAAGTAAACAGATTGAATAGCAAATGAATGAATTAATAGAATAAAAAATATTTCACATCATACCGATCAGCAAAATATTGAGTAGCTACATCACCAATAGGTAATTTTGATAATACAACTTTTACACCAGCTAGATGAAGTTTTTCTAATTTTGAATACAAAATTGTCCATTCAGCATCAACTATTTTTTGATATTCCTACAACAAAAAACAAAATATATCATATTAGACTATTTAAATGATTTCTTTCACTGTTATACGATGTTAACTTTCTCAATTCAACTTACTTCAACATTATCTAAACGTATTTCGGCATTATCTCTTTCTGCTTTTAATTCTAATTCAATATTTAACATGGCTATTTTTGGTTTTTGATATTGTTTTGGTTGCATTTCAAAACCAGCATATGAAAATGTTTTTTTAAATGCTACACCGGCAACTAGACGAGATTCCTAAAGTATACAACAACATATATAAAATGAGAAAAATATTGTGTCAAAATTAAAATATATATTTACTTCAAGTGAACCACCGTTAACTTTTTTAATTCCAATCATATTTAACGGTAATAAATCATCTAAAATAAGTACAGCATCAACAACCATTTTTGAAAAAAATTCTTTTTGTCGTGCAATTAATTTTGAACTTAATGTTGTGGCAGCACATTTTTCTAACAGAGCACGTTGTTCTCTATAAAGCACAAACATACACTTATATAGGCATCGAAATAAGAAAAGGCTACTAAACCTACTTGGCATCATCCGTTTTAACACTGACGGCAATTTCTTTTACTTTCTGATTCGCAATTGCTGCAGCTTTTCTTAGTGCACGAATAATCACTGTTGGATGCATACCATCGTCGATAAATTGACGACAATTTTTCAAAATTTCACCGGTCAATAATACTACCGATGTCGTACCATCACCGACCTATGAAAAGAATAAATAATTAATTCAACAGAATCTTTAGAAAACATGTTATACCACCTCGTAATAGAAGCTTCCTCTAGAGGAGCCGATGTGGAGGGTGTATTAGAAGGGGCTTCTATTACGTCCGGAAAATAATTCGAATTTTAATTGTTCTTATGTGATGAGATTGGGTGACTTTCATTAAAAACCTTTTAAGAGGCGCTCAATTAAAATAATTTGGATGGGACAAAAATTTCATTAAAAATTTTAATGAAAATTCAGAGTCACCGGACACATAGGAACTTTCGTTAAAATTTTAATAAACTTCTTTTTAATAAAAATTTTTTTAATAAAACTCCGATATCTCTGTGATGTCGTGTGTAAAAAAGGACACGAATAAAATTTACATTTTTAATCCCGAAAGACATTTTTTCAGATTAATTGAGATTACCATGATTAGAAAGGTAAGAGCACCGAAATTCAAAATCTTCTTTTTTTTTCTGAAAATTTTTGTACGAAAGTTGTAATAGTAGCCCCCTCCCCATAATACAAGCCCCCCTAAAACTTTTGAACGCTTGGACAGTTTAGAAGCTCCGGAGGCTTCTATTACGGGGAAGGGTTTAGTTGACTGCGAAAAAATGTCAGCAGTACGAAAGATACCAAATAGAGTGAAATAACTCACTTCTGCATCTTGAGATTTGGCAATATCAACTAGTGTTCGAGCAGCTGGATGTACAACTTCTAATAATTTCAGTATTGTTGCGCCATCATTTGAAATTGTGGCTTTTCCTGTATAAAAAAACATTGAATAATTGCAGGAAATAATACCATCTATAATGGAAACATACCTCTATTGTCAACAATTAATTTATCCATTCCTCTTGGTCCCAATGTTGTTCGTACAGCTTCTGCTACAGCTTGACATGCACTTATATTTGATAATACTTGCGATTTACCTTGTGAAGAATCTGTACCCTCTTTTAAAATAATTATCATTGGCTGCATGATGAAATTTTAATAGTCTAAGATGAATGATTATATCTAAAAACCAAATTCTTCTTCTGTATGAATGCCCGGTATTAAATCATCACAAAAAACAAAATGTTCTTGTAAAAGAAAACTAAAATACTCCATAGAGAAACGACTGAGAGAGTGAGAGAAAGATTTTTATTTGACAGCATAAATAACAGAAACAAAAACATATAAAAATGACATCATCTTAACTCAGCTCAGAAGCTAGAACTTAATTTTATTCAATTGAATTTCAAACCTATTCGCTGATCTATTCAGGACCAAAAGAGTCAAGAGAACAAATGTTCAATTAAAGATGAGCATTAGCTTGTTCATTTATTAGTCTGTTTTAAGCAGACAAATCCGTGTCTTCAGATTCTGTACGACGTTCAAAAATTCTCAGCAAATTCAATCCGTATGTTTTGTTTCCGTTCAGGAAAAAAGAAATTCTTAGTTATTCAGGATTTTTTGTGAATCTCAATTAGAGTTGCCAGATAGTTCACATTTTGCGGACAAATTACGGATTTTTTGGTTTTTCCCACATTTTAAGTAATTTATGCTTCTGCTATTATCCCTTTGAGTTAAAAATCCGTCTAAACTTATTGTTACCATGCACTGAAACTTATAATTATTTCTTATCAACGCCAGAGCTGCTTAAACTTATTCATTCTAATCAAAAATATACAGTCCAAAAGCAACGTGTCAATTAAAATCGAGATTTATATTTCTGTTTATTGTTCTCTTGTGTTTTATTTGTTAAAACCACAAAGTGCTAGAAAAAAACATTTTTTTGACTCTCTGCGCGTGAAAAAGGATGAAGTTAGACCAGAAAAATGTGTTCCCGTTTTTTTCCGCATTCTGACAAAGTTTGACACAATTTTCCGCATCCTGAAATTTTTACTCCACATTTCTGATCTGAGCATCTGACAACTCTGGTCTCAACATCCCTCATATTTTAGATTCTCTCTCCGTCTTACACTGGACATCATATAACACTACAGTAAAGTCGAAAGCTCGATTATGATTGGGGCTTGGGGTTATTGCAGTGAACTCCACCGATAAGCAAGTAATTCTTGTAGAAACGTTGCTAAATATCCGATATAAAATTTATCCTTAAAACTGGCATTTCGATCAAGCGTGAATACTGAAATATACTAAAAGTAAGTCTTACTGCATCTCTGGTTTAATTACGAAACTGCGTTCTATTTGATACTGAAGCATCGATTCACACACAGCAGATAAAACATGAGCTTATTACGCGCTAGGACTGAAAGCTAGGCGTTATTTGCTAGTATCATCGTGAGTCTACGTTGATTATGGGAACTTAGTCTCTCTGTTTTTTACCATAGTGTGCTTATAAGCTAGAAAAATAAATGGTTTCCAATAATATCACTTCGCTGCCCATTTTTAACGGCAATCATTCATTCGAATGTTTAGTTTATCTGCACAGTCACTTTGCAATTCCGTAAGTCAGTATACGAAATTAATTTACAGCAAACTTAACTGACACTTGTGAATTGAAAGCTGTAGTATTTTGAGGCCAAATTTAGTCAGCGGCAAATTCATCGTCATTCGAATAAAAGTCATTGATTTTCTCTACTATAAGGGCTCTATCAATATTTGTTCCTAATCTGTAACCGCTTCTGCTTTTAATTTTTTCTCTCCTGTTTCGATATTATTCTTAATATAATTGGTCTACTTGTAATGTGCAAGTGCATTGGTTATCATCCGCATTGTCAGACTGACAGCTTTTTTCTATTATCTTATACTAAATTCTAGAGAATCAAACTAAATGAATGAATACGATACCACTTTCTAGCGGGTTACAGAAGATTCAAATTCTTTTATAAAAACAAATATGGTATAGTAAATGCCGTTGTAAAGTGACAGAGGGATGTTTCATTCACGGCTTGAAGTGCTATTCGATTTTTCGGTAAATTGTTATAAGTAGTCCAACACTGTGGATCTCACAAACTTGAATATAGACTTAAGTTAACGTTTAGTTTGCTTAGTGTATCCATTTAAACCTGTGTTTATCTTTTGTCTTTCAACTTCTTCCGTTTTGTCTGCAATCAATTGTATCTGACTTTACAATTTACCATCATCTCATTTCTGTATTTATTTTTTATACTGTTTAGCGTCCTCACTGTTCGTGTTTACGTTGTCATCATTCCAAGTATGTTCGCTTTTTTTCTATTGTCATAGGTTATTTTCCTCGAACAGTATATATTCTTTTTTATCTGCAGTCTTTCACTTGAATAATTTTCTAGAATCAGCCATTTGTTGTTTCTCTATATTGTCTCTTAAAAGAGATGCATCTACAACATTAAACAATAAACTGAGAGTTATCTGTTGTCACGCTGGCTTTTACACTTACGACGGAACCACCCGAGGTGGTAAATCGCTTTTTGGTCGGAATCTAGTGGGTTATAGGTTATCGACCATGCTGATCGCGAATATGACCACAGAGGTTCCCATAGCCATTCGAAGATCCGGTTTTCTGCAAAACCAGTCAACTCTAAAAAATAACCAAAATCTTTCTTAACGAGACATGATTGTAGCGTGTACATTTCTGATTAAAATGAGACATCTCCCAGCTCTAGAAGACCTTTTTTTGCAAAGTTAAAGAATTTATAAGAAAAGCCCTAACTTAATTTTTTCCTTATTTCTCTAGCTTTGAGCTGACAATCAACATTCAGGGCTTTGCTTGTAAGTTCTATAACTTTGCAAAGAAAGGTCATGCAGAGCTGAGAGATGTCTCATTTTAATCAAAAATGTGTGCGATACAATTATGCCTCGTTAAGAAAGGTTTTGGTTACTTTGTAAAGTATCTGAAAGACTGGTTTTGCGGAAAACCGAATCTTCGAATGGCTATGGGGAACCCCATGGTCATATTCCGGATCAACACGGTCGATGACCTATAACCTGCTAAATTCCGATCAAAAAGCGATTTACCACCTCGGGTGGTTCCCTCGTTAGTGTAATTTCGTACGATGATAAAAAGACTTCTTTTAGAATTGGATCCATGTAAAAAAAAGAATCGCTGATGTGTAGGAAAAACGTCTGTATTGCCTCTTGTCTTGGCGAATAAGCTGAGCGAAAAACTATCGATCGTATGTTACAACTAGATCTGGGACTGTTCACGGTTTCCATTCATTCTACGTGAAGTGAAAATCAGTTCTCGTTCACTAAGAATACATTCTTTTTTGTTTTTCGCAGAGATGCTCAACGTTAGTTGCTGTTAAAAGCTGTGAAAATCTTTTTTTCTGTATTTTAGATAAGAATGATGTCCTTGGCAGACATTCGTGAAGGTTTCATATGCCCTCAATGTCATCAAGATATGTCTTCAATGGATATGTTGCAAGTCCATTTTCAAGAAGTGCACATTAAACAGCAATCAACAACGGTTAAAGGTAATTAACGGATCAGGGAGTACTCTTATGATCCACTTTAGTCACTGTTTTTTTGTCAATTCTAGGATTATTAACATTAGCCAAACAAAAATTAACTTCTGTGACAAATTCAGCACTCCCAGATAATTTTCTTAGTGGTGGAAGTTCGTCAGCAACAAGCGTTGGACCTTATGCTCAGTATCATTCTGAGAGTGGCATACAACAACTAGGTAAGATAGGCAAAAAGTAGTCAGCAATAACTGAATTCTCTAATCTCTTGACGTCAGAGATTTGACATGACAAAAGTTTATTTATTTAAAACCTAAAGTCAGCTTAAGAGGATCGGTGACTTTTAATCTTACGCTCATAAATGAACAGAAATCATTTCCGATGGTGTATCACAGTTTAGTTCATAGTTCTGTTAAAATGTCATTTATTATTTCTTCTGTTATATTATTCTGATTTTCTTGTAATCTGACTAATGCTCTTTGTGTCAATGTGATAGCGTAGTGTTTGATTTCCGGTAAAACACTTTGTCTGTGGATATATTGATTCGTCGTATAATGTAGGATCACGAGTACCTTTATTTTGTACTATTTGTAATCTTGTCCAAACTTTTACTCGTGCTGTTAAGAAAATAGGTGATTCAAATGTTATTACGGAATGTGCTAGTGATTTATGTAGATTGATCATTGTTTTGTTATTGCTTTCAGGTATTGATCGTGATAGATATGTTAAAGTATTTATTCTAGATTAAACTTTAGCTTCAACAGTTTTAGTGTGTACTCTTCAGTCTCATGCCGAAATATAGAGCCGATTGTTATCGTTTGATTTGTACATTCCCACTTTTATTTCATTTTTATTTTGTACGTATGTGTGGTAAAACTTTGTTGACTGAATTATTAGGTTTCACCGATATGCATCGTTGTTAAAACGCACCAAAAAGTGTTTTGTTAGCGTGTAGTTGTGTTAGCAGCTGTACATAAAGCGGTATTATCAGTAAATAATCCGTAATCTGTATGATATCGAATTGAATTCATCGAGTTCGACGCGTAGATTACATATAAGAATAGTGACAACTACCACTTCTCATAGTAAACGGATTAGGGAGAGTGTTTTTGATTGATGAGATAGATTGTTGTTGTTTTTTATAGCTTCTGCATTAAAATGAAGATGTTCGACTTTTAATCCAAGTCGAATAAACGTATTTCTATTATCGTTATCTTTGAACAGCACTTTACATGTTGTTCCAGGTTCTGCTTTCTCTTTGTCTGATAAACGCACGATTTTTTCGACAGAACAATCGTCGCTCGCTAATGAGTTCATGATTTCTTGCATCATATCTTTGTCCACTTCCTTGACGAACGCCCATTTGTCGATTTCAAGGATTTTTTGAATTGAATACTAAGATTTGATCTGGATTATATTGCAATTATTTCTAGGAAAACCGATTAAGAATTTGTTGAAACGTTTAACATTTGTGGCATATAAATATAAGCAAACCATTACGATTTGCTTGAATATCCTACGTTTCAACATCGGGTATTTTTAATATTTTTTCTTCTGTTTTGAATACATCAGTCTGCGCATTCTTTTTCTTCGCTAATACTTTCATTGACTGTTCTATTTACTTTTCGTTTACTTGAGCTCTGCAGCTGCTTTTCTCCACTCAGAGGGCTAGAATTCATCGTTATCAAATCTAATATTTGACTTTTATTGTCTTGCTTTAGTCGGACTATTTTTATTTATTTTTAATAATTTTTATTATTATTTTTTCTTAGGCTTCTCTTTTTAGCTCCATCGTACTTCTAAGCGGGCTTGACTAGCTTTTTCAGTTTTTACCGAAAGATACTTGCTCTTTCTAAATTAAATATTACTGATAGTAGAGATTTTACGCTACTTTTTCATCAATACTTTATACTTTCATATTTTGGTGACGCAATTAGGAGTATTCTTTAATCGTTTTCTTATTATGGTTTGTCTTGTTTTGTAGGTTATCATCGGTCTCATACGGATAAATTTCGAAAAATCCGTAAAGAAAAATTAGATAAAATTAATATTGATATGACAAAATTATTATTAAGATTAGAACAGTTGACAAATGATAATGTACCTATTGATAAAAAAGAACGTAAAAGTATGTATTTATAGATTCTATTTTTCTGTTGCTTACAAATCTCATCTACAGTAGCGGTAAAAATTTTTCATACAGACCCCACATTTCTTTTTCTTTTGATCATAACTCGATAACGAAAAAAGCTTTTGACAAGCGGTTTACACCAAAATATTCTCCGCTCTCTCTAGCATATTTGTAGATAAGAAAAGTTAGAAATATTCATTGTTGCCTGATTAGATCGAAAAGTGAACGTTTTCCGATCGGCAAAAATTTTTCATACAGTTGATAAAAATCTTTTTTTTACGTTGTATAAGCACTGACAAAATATGAAAACTACATCAATCGATAGAAGAGAGCGCGGACTACATTTTGGTAAAAAAATAATTTTTTAAGTTCAGAGGGAAAACAGATTTCACAGGGAACATTAAAACCCACTTTTCACCCATAAAAAAGATTTTTGATCAAAAACTAACGTCAAATTCATGTTCAGCGTCAAAAACTGCGTTTAGTGATGTGTCACTCGCAGTTTAGCAAACTTTTACTTACCTCTGGAAGTATTTCACTCACTAAACATCTAATGGGGAACAAAGGCATTCTTGCGTATGGAAATGTTTTGAAAAACTTCGAGTGATATATGGCTAAACGCAGTTTTTGACCGCTGAGCACGAATATGACGTTAGTTTTTGATGGAAAATCTTTTTTATAGGTGGAACACCGGTTTTAATGTTCAGAAACCCGTTTTCTCTCTGAATTTAAAAACTGCAAAGGACGAGGTGCAATAAGAACGAGAATTGGATCCATTTCAAATTTTCTCGAAAGGTGTCCAGAATGAAAGAGCATGTGATTTTATGCTGTTCTGGAACCCTGGTTTCTCTTCGAAGTTGATATCTGTAAGAAAATCGATTACCTTTAGACAATATTTCAGCAAACCCATTGCTGTGTGTTTTTGGTACTTTTCTTAGAACAAAATAAGTTTGAAGGGAAGTTTTATATACTATTCGATGCAGCTTTACGCGAAGAACAAAACTGTCTGTTGCACAATTATCATGTAAACTGCACATCGACTTTTTGGAATATTTCTGTTAAAACATGACCTTGTCAGCATAGTCAGCGATAATATTTCTATTTTTTCACAATGAAAAAACTCAGGTCACGGTCTACAATGTGCATCAGCAGAAAGCTTTTTCAAAACTCTACAAAATGGTTGGTGATTCGTTTCTAGTTGAAAGTGCGAACACTCACTTTTTCGGGCATTACTACTGGAGAGTGATGTTTTCGGCATCGACGGATAAGCTTCATATAAAACCTACCACCATTTACATCGACCTTTGACGTCAGTGACGAGACCTACCTCATATTGTTAGAAAAAAAGTTATAGCCCTTGCAGCGGAAAAATGCATTTTCGTCATTTTCCGGCGGATTTGGCCTAACTTGTAGAACGTCTGATGATCACATTTCCTAACTTAGAACCTTGAAGTTGGTATCAAATAAAAGAGCGCGTCGAGTTCTGTATATTTCGATGAAAAACATTTATGCTACACCTCGAGGTCTTGAGATAGAGCTTTCTCCAAAAACCTGGTTTTATAGAAAACCTAGTGATCTTAAAATTTCTTCTAAGTTTTTCAACCATATCATTGGATAGTCACTTCAATTCTTCACAAAATGAGAAGCTGGCCAAGTTTCTACGATGCTGCGTCAAAAAATGCCATAGAAAATACGATACAGATCGAAAATTCGGCATTAAAACGAATGAATTTATATTCATAATGTAAAAAAGCCTGTAACTCGGTCAGCCAAGATCGTAGACACTTGGCCAACATCTCATTTTGTGGAGAGTTGAAGGGGCTATCCAGTGATATGATTGAGAAACATCTGGTTGTGAAAACTTTGAAGGAAAATCAGGGTTCTAGAACATCATAAAATCACATGCTCTTTCATTCTGAACACCTTTCGAGAAAATTGAAATGAGGCCGATTTCTCGTTCTTATTGCACCTCGTCCTTTCTCTTTTCATACCCCTACACAGTAACTACTTGACTACATGATGGCGCAAAGATATTCAAAAATTGTTTACACTCCCGTACAAAAAAGATATTTCAAAAATAGGCTTAAAATCCAAAACACTAAAAAATGGGTCAAATTCTTCCACTTAACTTCCACACTATATTTGTCTCACTCAGTTTTGGACGCTCTTTCGAATAGCTTAATCAGAATTTTTTCCCACACACATTCGTGAGAGTGTGGAGTCACACTGAAGAGTATGGCACTTTTGGTTTCGCGTTTTCGCCCTAAGGAAAAGCTTTTTTCGTTGCCGAGTTATGATCAGAAGAAAAAGAGAAGTAGAGTGTATGGAAAATTTTTACCGTCACTGTAATTCTGAGAGAATCAACTATTAATTAGAAGTTAATCATTTGTATATAAATCGAATAGATTTATTGTAGACTATTTTCTATCATTTAGAATATGAACAAGATATTGTCGAATGGTTAGATGATGCCAGTGTCAAATTGTGTCCATCGTGTGCAAAGCAATTTGTCATATCAAAACGGAAACATCATTGTCGACTGTGCGGTTTTGTTATGTGTAATAATTGTTCAGAATTTTTACCATTTTCAATCGCAAGTATGTCGATCATTAAGTAAAAAGTTGAATATGAAAATTATTCTACTATTCTATATGAACAGATTAAAAATGTTTCTGTTAAACTTTTTTATACAAAGCTACTATTGAGCATATTTTTATTGTTTATTTTATAGGATATTTAATTGTGCCAATATCAAAAAATAATATTTCAACAATATTATCCATAACGTCAGATAAAAATGAAAACTCTAGTCTTTCAAATATTTATACAAATTTAACGTCAACTTTGACAAAAGATGAGAATGTGGGATCATCTTCAACTGGTGATGATAATTATTTAAGAATATGTCAATCCTGTCGACAGACACTTCAAAATCGTTATCAACAGATTAAATTTACACAAATTGAAAAAGAAGAAATTACTCAATTGTATGAAGTACGTTAGTATAATCTATTATTTCTATCGTAGTATTTTAAATTTAAGTTGATATTGGACTGGCCTCCTACTCCACCTCTTTTTCCTCTGTTTCACGAACACAGTACCTATTGACGAATAAATTCGTTATTGTTGGTTCATCCGATGGTTCATGTCATCACGTATTTTTACTCTTGACTTCTACTAGTCGTTAAGCTCGGGTTCTTCAATCAAGTGAGACTAGAAACTCTCTCAGTACCCTAGATTAAACAAAGTGCCAATCCAATCTATGTAGTATATTTAAAAATAATGGTAAAAATACATATGAAGGAATAACATGAAGTGAGGAGACCACTAACTGGTTCGACCACTTACTAACTCTGTATTGTATATGGACTCGAACTGACTATATCTGAATGTATGCTTTCATATATCCAAAAGAACAAAGACATGTGACATAAAAGAAAAAAATAGACAGACGAGGGAACCGATTTAATTGTCAAATCGTTTTTCCAATGAGACCTACTGGATTATAGGTTATCGACTATGCTGATTCCGAATATGACCATGGCAGTTGCCTGTAGATCTTCAGAGACTGGGAACTGAAAAAATAACCAAAGTATTTCTTAATAAGGCATAATTATAGTCCGCACATTTCTAATTAAAATGCGACATCTCCCAGCTCTACACGACGTTTCTTTGCAAAGTTATAGAATTTACAAGAAAAGCCCTAAATGTGCATTGTCAGCTCACAGCTACAAAAATAAGAAGGAAAAAATTAATTTAGAGGTTATGTAGTAAATTCTATAACTTTGCAAAGAAACGTCGTATAGAACTGGGAGATATCGCATTTTAATCAGAAATGTGTGTGTTTCGATTCACCATTAAACGCAAATCATAGATATGCCATCGTTACATGCTTCTACACTTGCGAGGATATTTGTTAGCATTTTTCGCCCGAAAAAACTGAACTCCTCTTTTCCTCATTTTTTTACAAACTGTCAGTGGAATACCAGCATTGGGAAGAATGACTATCATCCAAACACAGTCATTCCTTCACAAATAGATCTTTTTTTTTGACATATGTATCAATTTCTTGAACGTATAAATTAAAAACACGTTTTTCTCCTATAGTTATACAATTTTTCGACTGTCAACAATAGAATTTAGTGATTTTCTGATTTAATTAACTTTATCTTTAATTTAGAAGATCACAGAAGTGTTGAAAGAAGTGCGTCAAATTCATTCAACCTATAATTCAATGATTGAATCTCTACTGTAAGTATACGCTAGTATTTAGACACTAAGAATAATTTCTTTTAAACTTTGTTTTTAGTAACGGTGAAACAACACATCAAGTTATAGATGCACAACGACTTTTTCAACGCTTAAGTTCCTGCTTTGAAGTTATCGATTCGACATCGTAAGTTCGATAATAGATCTACTTTTAGTAGAAGAGATGTGCCTAGATTATTATGGAAATCGTTTTGTATACAACGATAGCGCAGAATCAGAAAAGAAAAACTAAACTTGGTAGTTTTATTAAAATATTAGCCACATTTTTTGAAGAATAAAACCCCATTTTGTCTTCTTAATTATAGATTTTTATAGAGTTTTTTAACATTCTATACCCTTTTTCTTAAACAAGTAAGTAGTATGATTGAGTCCTATTCTGCGAAACGTTTCTGACATTATAATGGCAAACTCCTTAACTGCTTTTAATAGGGATGTATTATTTACGTCACTTATTTGTTACTTTTCCTAATGAAAACTAAATCGATTTATTTACATTTACTTTAGGAAATTGGTAAATAATACGTCAAACATTATTATTTGCTTTGAAAATAGTCGATGAATCATTTACTTAAGCTAAATAAATAGTAAATAATTCATTTACTCTACTTTTCCAAGTTTGTTTAGTATTTTTTGACTTCACTTTCTTTGTGAACACTCTTTGTTTTATCACTTGGATCATTTCTATCCTAAAAAGTTAGAAGACAAATGTCGTTTTTTTTGTTTTTTTTTATTAACTTTTCTTCTCTAAAGTAAAACAAATGATTCATTTACTATTTTCTAAGTAAATGATGAATGTTGAATATATCATTTACCATTTCCTAAGGTGAATAAATCATTTACTTTCCTTACGAAAAACAAAGATAAAAAGATAGCGTTTAACTGTTAAACAACAACTCATTTTTTTAATCAAAATATTAGTTGATACGTGAAAACAATGAGAAATACTAATGCTTTGAATGGATATTTCGACAGTCACTTCTTCTACTCGACTTTTAACTCATGTTTAATTTTACTAATGAAAACAGCCAATTGTAACAAAAAATGACTCCTATATTTTTGTTAACTTCTAACTTTTAAGTTTATTCAGCATGGATTTGCACCGTTCTGCTTATTTTGCTTTTAAATTGAGACAGAGGTGTAGTATTGATCGGATTTATAATTTTTTTTATTTATCTTGACTATAAATTGTTTATTGTTTTTTGTTTATTTTAGAAAGCTTATTTTAAGTTTAGCTAATTCGAGTTCAAATGCCGATGATCAACAATCTAACTCTCGTCATTTAACAATTTGTCGAAATATTCGTTCATTTGCTGTACAATTGCTTCAAACTTATGCCATATCAACATTACGTGTACCATCGGAAGAAGATGTTCAAAAAGCTCGTCAAGATCGTCTAAAAATGATTGAAGAAAAAAATGAACTTGAACGTCAAGCTAAATCAAATTTATATCAACGAACACATGTGCCTATTTCATCTTCTCCCCATAGTGTTCTTAGACAAAAGAGTGAGCTATCTGAAGAAGAACAAAAAGTAGCCGGTTGGAAACCGATGCTCGATCGTTCTGTAATGGAAACAACAAATGATTTAGAGCCTCTTGTACAACAAATTTATCAAGTAACACAATTTTTAAGACAAGCAAAAATAGCTGGAAAAGAGGATGAAGTTCGCTTGTTAGAAAATAATCTAAAAGAGTTGGAACAAGCAATGAAATTGACTAAACAAACGTCGTAATATTATGTGTGTGTGTGTGTGTGCGTATGTGTGTGTTTTTCTGGTAGTGCAATATTTATAAAATTTTTTGTGTTGTTACATAATATTAAGCTAAACTATTTAATATTTAGTCATAATTGTCATGATTTTTATCAGTGGATAGTATGTATAAAGTTAATCAAAACATGAATAGTAGATAATTTTGAATAAAACAACAGCCTATGTTATTTAATGTTGATGAAAATTGAAAAATAATTAACGAGATCTGTACTGTATCAAAAAAATGTTTATTAATGTCTGTAGTTAAAAATTTAAAATAGAAAATCACTAACTGGAGTTTTAAATTTCTAAACACAGAAAAACTACAACGACGACGAAGATTACGATACAGATGAACTAGTTTTAGCAATTGCTGAATAAAAAAAGATTCCATTTCATTTTGTTTCGTTTTGCCTGTTCGTCAGACCGATACTCTTGTTGCAAAACAAATCGAGACATTAATCTTATATACTATTGTTGGTAATCTTACCTTTGCTAATAATATTCATCTCGATGTTAAACAAAAACTATGGGAGACGATGCTGCTGTTAACGTGAAACTAATATATGATATTTTAACTCTAGTTATAACTATTTTAACTGTTTGGTAAAATCTATTAACTGTTAACTTCGGCAAAATACTTTTAAAGCTCTACAGTGAGTTATTCACTACTAAATAGGGGTGGAACAGTTCCAGTTCTTACTATTTTAGTTTAACTGGTTTTTTTATAATCAGGATGTAGAAAAGTTAATATTCATCTGTCTTGTTTTCTATACTGCAATAAAATCATCTCCCACAAACGATACTGCCATATTTTCCACATAAACAATATACGTATAGAAAATCTTTATTCGACAGTCTTTAATGTGACTATTCCTATACTATACGTGGCACCTTTTATCTTTAAAAGAAAATATAGGGCAACAAACATTCTCTTTGAGATAGAAAATCATGTTGATTTGTCTGTAAACATTAAAGACTGTCGAATAAAGATTTTCTATACGTATATTGTTTATGTGGAAAATATGGTACTATCGTTTGTGAGAGCTGAATGGCTTCTTCAAGCGTGACGCTGTGACATTTTTGACATACTAGGTCACTCTTATCTGAAAAACTATTAAAGCTATTCGACGCAGCTCAACGTCCTCTATCTTCGGTAAAAAAAAGAAGAAAATTTGGTTTGAGTTTAGCAGTCTTATAGCAAAGTTCCAGAGCGTGACGCTCTGACAAAAAAAAACCTTTTTTCTTTGGTATCTGGCGGATTTTTGAAAACTTTCAGGGAAACTCACCGATGAAAATTTTTATTTGCAAGCGATTATGTCGAGGAGAGAAGGGCTTACACGTTAGTAAAAAAAATTTCATTCCAGGATCCTCGTGGATCGCAGAAATGTTATTTTATTACGAAGGCGCTGTGACACTCTTTTTTGGTAGAGCAGCCCCTTGTACTCAGCACGGCCAAAAGAAGTTTATTTTTACCTTTACCAGAGCTCTTGCTAGGTACTCACGACTTACGGGAGAACTGCCACTCTAAATTTCAAACCCCGACTGGAAAATAGCCCGAAACCTGGAAGTCTCTGGAAAGCCTGGTGCTCGGTGAAAACATTCACTGTCAAAACAAAATGAGCCATTTTGTAGAGAATTCAATTGTCTATCGACTGGTGTACTCTCTATATGTTTTAGACAAAATTTCTAGGTCAGAAAATTGAAATTAAACTTTTTAAAAAACTTAAACTCAATTGTTTTCGCCGAAAACCAAAATCTTGTTTTAAAAGAACACGAAATTCGTAATCAGCTTGAAAAACTGCGTCTGTCGCTGTGGTTGAACCACTTCCACAATGGAAAATTTTTTTTTAAAACTTAATCAGCGAAGTATCGTGTTACGTAGACAAGCCGTGAACTATTATCGTTTTCAAAAAGCAATGTCCCTGACTAAATTTTGAATAACTCCCCCATAGAAAGAGATATCGATCTCTGGTTTTCGCAGATCGCTAGCCAACACTTTTTTGCATATAGCCATGCAAAAACATTCTCAAAAAATAAATTTAAAGTCGGTTTTCCAAGAGGATCTTTGGAAAACCAGCTCCATTCTCGGAAAACTAAGATGCAATGTTAGTAATCTTTTTGCATGCATAGATAGTCCAGACGTTACTCTACTAAATTATGCAGGTCCCGGCTCTCCAGCTATCGTCGTTCGGACAGGGCTGGCTTTCCCCGGGCACGTGTCTATCTCCAAGCAGACATCTCTGGGAATCTCGAAATGCCATGGGATATAGGTAATCGACTACGCTGAGCATAGTGGTAACATTTGTTTTTGTGTAGAAATGAATATAACTTCGCCAGAGGCATTTTTGTGAAAAACCGGTTTT